GTATTTTGTTTAATGACATCTTCTCTACCAGACTTGTTCCTTGGCAGATGGCAGACGCTCAATACATACCTGTTGGGAAGGGAGGGAGGCCGGGAGGGAGGGGGCCGGAGTGGGGCCTCACTTAGCAGCTTCTGCCATGTGCCCCCAGGCGCCCCTAGTGGGGGACGGCAGGCGCTGCTGGGAGTGCCCGGACAGGCAGCCTTTAGGGGTTGCTTCCTTCAGGGATTTTCTCTGCTGCAGAAAGCCACCTCCCCCAAGGTCATGCCCCTTGCCCAGCACATCCTATGGGTTGGCCAAGGCTGTCACCACAGCTTGTATTAGGGCTCAGGCTCTCCCTCCGCCCCTCCTGCTTCCCAAGTCTCCTTTGCGCAGGTGTGGACCAGCCCAAAAGCCCTCCCAAAGGCGCCTCTGGCTGCCAGGAAGAGCCAACCTCGGTGGCTCGTAAACCTCCCTGCAAACCTCCCCCAGTGCCTGGGAGGACCCAGCCTCTGACACTCAGGTTCCCAGGAGGGAAAAGACCGAGTGCTATTCCTGGCAGCAACTCTAAGTTGAACCACAACCGCTTTGGCAAAAACCTTAGAAGAAATGGCCTTTCTGGAACCACTGTTGGAATCAGCAATGAGGCATCTTCAAGTTTCCTTCACGTGATTGATAGTAATTTTCAAAGTAGAAAAAAAGGTCAGAAAGTGTGACCTGGTGCCTGGCAACATACTAAATACCCAATAAATGTTTGTTGCAACAATGAAAGCTGCTTTTTTTCTTGTTCTCTGTTTCTCCCTTAAGAATTTAAAATCAGAAAAAGATAATAAGACTAACACAGTCAGCCCCATGCAGTTATTTCCTTCAAATCACTTGTTTTAGCAAAAAAGGAATAACTACTTGTGATGTATTTTTCCATTATTTTTCTTTGTGCAGGAGGTTTTTAAATTAATTTATTCTTTCTGCATCAGGTTGTCTTATAATTGAAGATGTGTCTTCCCAAGGCTTTCTGGTGATGTCTTTTTTGCTGTTAACATCTTCTTTGTCTACTCTTCTGATCGCTGCCAAATTGCTCACACAACAGCAACTCAAGTGCATGAATTATGAAACCACATAAGCATTGCTCACATCTATTTGAGTCTAAATGTCTTAAGAGAGAAGTTTTATTTTATTTTTTTCTTTTTGCAAAACAAACACAATCAGACCTTGATTCACTAGCACATTTTGGGAAGGGGATGGTCTAGATAATTTAATTTTCTGGGCAATTTCCGTTAACCAGAAATCCATTGATATTTTCAAACCCTGATGTGGAAAATCTCTATAAAATTGTTCTTTATACTCTTAGCGAGGAGAGTGGAGCCCAGCGGGGATTTTTGGAGGCAGAGCGCGGTCACGGCGCGGCAAGAAGGTTGGATGTCAGGGCTGAAGCCCTCGTGTCATTCTCTGCTTTGCCTCTGATTCAAGCCGGGACAAAATCCTCCGGTCCTTGGTGTCCCCGAACAAGGAAGAAGCCACAAAACAGTCAACTGAGGCATCCAATCCAACCCAGAAGCTTCTGGTGCCTCATGTCAGCCTTCATTCTCTGTCATTCCATGTGACTCGGGAGGGGTGGGGGGGTCAATGGTATCTCTGGGGATTTGGGTTGCACTGACCTGTCTTTTGATCTATCTATATTTCCTGAATGTCCACTCGAAATCACACTTCTGTTCACATGCACTTACTTTCCCATGTCCTGGCTTTTTCTCCTCAAAGTGGGATGACAAGTGAAAAAAAAAAAGAGAGATTTGGGGTCAACTGACCCATAACCAGTATTTGGTCTACTGTGTGTTGAGTCTGGAAGCATGTTTTAATGCAACTGTGGAAGTTCAGGCGTGATGCTGCGCAAAGCACCCTGGCCCGGAATACGGAGCCTGGGCTCTGCTTCTGGTCCTGCCACAGCAAGTCTTCCCCCTGCGCCGTCAGTGGGAGGACTGGGCAGGTCTGTGCTCTCTGTGCACCACGACCTCAGCTCCTCCGCCTGGCGTTTCTCAGCCTCAGCACTGCTGGCATTGCTGACTGGACACCCCGCATCCTGTGTGTTATAAGAGCATCCCTGACCTCTGCCTATTGACACCAGTAGCTCCTCTCACCCAAGGTGTGAAATCAAAATTGTCTTTAGACATTGTCCAGTGTCCCCTGGGAGGTAAAACCACCCCTTTTGAGGACTACTGCCTTTAAGGGTCATCTCTTAACTTTTTCTGAGAAAAATAACCCCAAGTTGAGAATATCAATATCACATATCTGATTGTTTCTCTCAGGGAAATCAGGTCTACAGAGTGCAACTGTGGGATCCCAGAGGCACTCATTCCCGGCAAGCTGAGCTACCTGGAAACGAATGTGTTAGTAAAGGTAGACCCACGTTGGCCTGCTCAGGTGGGGGGAAGGTTTGCTGATGGGAATCGAAGCTACTAAGACAATGAGAAAAATTGTAAGCACACTCTCTCGTCCTGCAACGTTCTTTGCTCCACGTGAGAAGAATTGGAGTTGTTGGCATGAAGCAGAAAAGATGGGTCTTAATGCATAGAATGATTTCTTCTTCTCTACTGAGGACAATAAAAGAAAAATGATTATTTTCATTAAGTGTTTTGATGTAGGGTTAGATCAACTTCCTAAGCTTTTCCCCTTAGCGTTCTCAGTTCTTAGCAGCATCTGATATTACAGTGTTTATGTATTTGTTTGCCTGGTTGGTTCATGAATTGGGACTCCCTCCTTCAAATAAAAGTTCCATGGATCCTAGATGCCTTTTTTATTCCTTTATCCTTATGCGCCTTCTATATACTCAAGCCCTCGGTAAATATTGGCTGAATGAAGTGGATGGAGTGAGTAATGGGAAATTGTTGCTATATTCTCCCACTGGCAGACAGAACCTTGTCCGGGTGTCTTTGTTCATCTCTGATCACATGGTAGATCTTCATGAGCAAAGAGGTTACTATGAATTACATCTTACAATCTTTCTTTGCTCTTCTTGATTCCCATTAAGGCATTTCCATTGGCTTACTAACAGATGTGCGTTAAACCCGCTATGAGGCAGGTACTGCTCCAGCTGCTAGCAGCACTGGGTTGAAGTCACCACAGGCCCTACTCCAAGGAGATTCCTTTTGGGCCATATGTATAGCTGTCTCATTTCCTAGTTCACTGGCCCCACTGCCCTCAGTTCTTTAACAAGAGGACTTTTTGAGTAGGTCATTGTATGGCGTGTGTGCGCGCGCGCGCGCGTGTGTTGGGGGCGGTGCTCAGGGCAAACATGTTGGCTAGAACACCAGCTTATAGGAAAAGCCAGCCTGGATAGCCGGCCTTCCCTCTGTGATGAAGTCAGAAGGCCTCCTTTCTGCCGCATGATTCCCTGTTTCACACAATGTACTTGCAGAAGACAACCAGATCTCTGCTCTTCCCAGAGACGGGGCTGCATCGCTCTGTCCCAAACGTCCCACACGCAGAGCCACCAGTTCCCTGCAGGAATTCATTTACTCAGTCACTGATGCAGAAAAACAAGTCGCCTACTTCCAGGCAAAAATCATACAGACTAATCCCAGATACCGATACTCAGTAGTAAAGGGGGTCAAATTTGTCTCTGGCAGAAGCCAAGGCAGACTGACAGCAAATGTCTGTCGCAGCTGGAGACAGGTCCCAGATGCCAGAGGGCAAGGCCTTCTGCATTCGCAGGCAGAAATCAACAGGCTGTCGCCAAGGAGACCGGGAAGTTGCTCCCCCCGTGGTTGCAAGCACAGCCGCATTCATTTGCTTCAAACCCTAAAGCATGAAAGCAGGCTTTTCAGCAAACTGGTGTGGTACGGAGTGAATCCCTAGCTATGTTTTCCTCTGTATCACTTCACACTCCCCAACCAGCCAACAAAACACCAGAGCAAAAGTACACATTTATACAAGGACATTATATGATTATTCCTTTGAGACAAAAAGACGGGGTCATCTTTTGACTTGGAACATTAATTACTCAACTGTCAACTGTGACCGAAGAAATGTATTTGATGAACCTACAATTCTACTTGTGGTCACAAGTTCTGTTGGCTTGGACACAAAATGGGGAGAGAGCTATGCTTAACAGGAAAAAGAATAATGAGAGGAACTCATAATGCGTGTACCTGTTAGACCCACTCAGGGTTTCCCCAGGGGTGGGGGAAGTCCAAGAGGGGTATGAACATGGTATGTAACTGGTACAGGGATAGGTCATTTTTAGTAGTTGTAGTTTAACGCATGTCAGAAAATATGCATAACTACCAAATTACAGCTGCGATTCCACAGACATTATTACTCATGAATGTACTTGCTTCTTTAAGGCAGAGATTATTTAAATAAAATTATTAAGTAAGCAATATACCCACATGTGGACACATACAGCAAAAAGTATTAAGAAGGTTCTCAAATGACAAGTTTGGGATTAGTGGATTAATTTAGCAAAAAAGCTATTAAGATCCATCAGTAAGCATATCTACTCCTTCCATATTCCCATTCCCACTTTTTCTCCCAATCCCTCATGCCTCCATTGATATCAAGTAGCTTGAAGAGGTATAGACACGGAAGAATAATATTGTGTTTTATGTATAATAAGCCTACTTATTATTGCAAAGAATATATGAATTGTCTTCATAAGGAGGTATTATTTTGACTAAGAATGTTTTCTCTATTAATGAATTACATTAAATATCCAAGAATTCTAAGGGGAAAAGTTTTGAATTATTGCACTATGGTAATGCCCTATGTGGCTTCAAAGTATAGCAACATTTAAGAATTTAAAAACACATTTCTAAGTGTTTGGTGGACAATGACAAGTGAGACACATGGGAAAAGGAAACAGTACAAAAAAAATGTGATTTGCTGTTACCTAATCCTTTTGTTGAGTGGAAAGGGATACCAATATGGCGGACAGGACGTCTGATCAATACTTGGGAATAATTAGATACCCAATACATACAGGCTATCGCTTGTGGTAGTTTTGGTTAAAAGTGAACAAAGTACACAAGACATTTCCATTTTCAGTTTTATTTTTATCAAAACAAAATAATTTAACCATATAAAGAGGAAATAAATGTCAACCAACAACCGGGAAGCCAATTGCTTCCCTGGTTATGAACAATTGAAAAGAGCAGTAAGTTCTGAACAGTTGACTGCATTTCGAAGATAGTGAGTCATTCTTGAGGGCTGTAAGTGACCGAAGTTGACACTTTTCCCTGGCTCTTCTTCTTCCAATGGTAAAGCAATATGCTCAAATCTTCCAATACTCCTTCAGAGTGAATTATATAGATTCTCAAATAAGTACAAAGCATGGGTGAAAAGAAATGTGCAGGGTACAAATCTAGCACACAAGATTTTTTGGGTCCTGACACTTATATTTAATGAGTTCAAAAAGATAAGGATAAGCAATTGTACCTAAGTACTGAGAAATGTAGTGTTTCAAAAGCCAGTGTCTCCTTCACAAGAACTATGGGAATCACAACTGAAGTGAGGAAAAATGCACAAGCTCTGTTTGCTGCAGTTGTAGAAATATGATCACCATACATCCAGGCAGACCATTTTCTCCTCACCATATTAAATTATGTCCAGGGAGTTGAGCAGCAGCACATTCTGGTATTGATGACAGTCTCTGTAACTATAAAAATCTGCTGCACCAGGCAAATTTTGTGCAAAATGCAAATTTCTATGCTGGGGAAAAAAATGAATAATGTGATCATTCTAAGTAATGAATGTAAATGCAAGGAAACACATTTTGGCATGAGGCTGCAAATCATTCATCTTTCATGCCAAGAACTGTGGTCACAGTGCATAGTCGTAAGGCTACTCTTCCCATGTGAGCTTGAGAGGAGGGATTTTAGGAAGGAAATGTTTAACTTGCCCTTGGTTACCTACCATGCTATTGGCAGGATTGTGATTAGAATTAGATTAGATCTAGTTCTGATTAGAATCCAGGGGTTCCCTTCCCCTGTTTTGTTTTGTTTTTAATCTCTTGGCAAACGAACCACTGGGTTCTGGGTTATGAGTTAAAGGGATATTAGCTTTGTCCAGAATCTCCAAGTTATACCTAACAGGACAGATGAGTTATTCTCCATCATGCTTTCCAATCAGGAGGATTCAGGTTTAGAAACCATGTGACTTTAAAAGCCACTTAACAGTATATGTTGCCCCTTTCCTCCATGCATCTTATAGCAAGTGAGGTCTGGCCAGGTGTAGGTACAAGCTGGAGAAATAAATCTGGTCGTGAGCCTTGAACACTATGGTTCATGGCACCCTGTACACCTTGCCCTGAGAGGATAGCAAATTCAAAATGCCCTTGACCTTCATCCATGCCAGCATCTCTGAAGTTATTCTCTGTGAAAGAAGTTGAGGCACCAGTTGGTTAAGACCCTTACCTGAAGTTATAATAAAATTAACAACACTAGGGAGAAAGGGAAATCCTTGATCTTTAAACTCTAGTTTTCCCAGCTCTAAAATAAATTTGTTTTCCTGTAATCATTTTACAGTACATACTTGTAGAGTGAAAACTGTAGCAATTGTTAATTGATAATACAGAAATTTCATTTTCAGTAACCCAAACTGGGTTATAGGTCGCTGATGCAATCCTTACAATGTATCCCTATAATTACATTCCACTTTCAGAAAATCCATAGGAAAATTAAGATTTATAAAATCAGAGATTGCTGTTTTATAAAAAGTTTCTTCATTAAAAAAACAAAATCTTTACCTTAGGATGATTTTCAATAGCCAATTCCCCTAGGCTCATTCAAAATACATTTTTATTTATTTATTTTTAATCCACTGAAATACAGCTTTTCAGGAATTCATGTTGATATAAAGTAAGATGCACTTGTAAACATTGCCACCTACTAGCTAAATGACCAGCTGAGACAGGATGGTCTGGCGATCTGCTCACCTCTGTAAGAGAGACACAGGAAATCGTGCTCTGCCAGACGGATAGGCAGCTGGCGGTGGTGGCTCTACCACCATCCCAAGGCCTGTGCTCGCTGGAGCTGCGGCTTACTGAGTCAGGCACAGCGATCCACTTGACAGTTCAGCAGCCACCCAGGAGCGAAAGGTCTGGAATCTAGTTTTCTCCCCTGACCAGTGCCTCCCAAAACAAACCAGCCCATTTGCCCTACAGACATGCTGTGTTCCACTCACCCTGTAGTGATCTGGTTTTCCTTTTAATTGTTGAGTTAGGAGCCAACATTTATTAGACTGGATGACTGCACCCGCCGCCAAATCTGGAACTCTGGGAAAACATTATATGGAGTTTCTCTGAGTTCACAGTCTTCACGGCAATAATTGGCTGAAGGTGTTTATGCTTCAAGTCCCCACAGTCCCAGCCAGACTTCTGTGGGCAGGAGCCTTCCCCTGGGAACGCCAAGCCACTGAGCCCTTGTATAGAAAGAAGAGGGTAGGCAGCTCAACCACTCTTGAGGAAGATCGGAAGGTATCAGGGCTCAGCTTGTCCACCTCTCATTCTCAGTCAGAGAAACTGAGGCACAGAGAGGGCATGTGTCTCAGCCCATTTCCCAGCTAGCAAAGGACCAGTTTGGGTCCTCACTCTTATCCCCACCAGGACTCTACTTTCCTAGACCTCATCTTTCCTGACAGTGGCATGAATAAGTCAAAGTCAAATAATCACCACATCACTTTTGTTTGGTTTAAAAAGTACGTGACAAAAAACATAATGATAATAATAAAGTATACCAAGGGTATGCCTATGGTCCCTTGACCCCCTTCTTGGTTTTTTTTCATAGCTGGACTTGAAATCAGTTGGATATTTTCCAGCACATCTGAAATGAACACAGGCACAGGGTAAGTCACCAGGGGAAGCGGTCTCATATTGAAGTCTTCTGTGAACAACCCTAAGATGGGAAAATTCACGTGAAGATACCTGAAACTGGACCATCTCTAGTCACAGGCAAGGGTGTGTGAAAGCGTGTCCACACGTGTGAGATATTTTGCATTGCCACCTCGCCTTTGAAGTACAAGATGTCATCTGAGCATCATTAACATCAAACGTAAGCCAAAAGAACTCTCTATACATTTCTAACTATACTAAATCATTCCAAAAACAAGTATAAAATTGCATTTAAATGCAGCAGTGTGAATCTCTTTAGGTTTTTCCTTTCCTATTTAAGGAGAAGGAGAAGAACCCAGTGAATTCAAGCCTGTGCACACTGAGTTGGCTGATGTAGACCAGCTATTTTCTTCGGCACAGGAGCACACGGGCTTGGAATACTGGGGAATCTTATCTGTGCTGTTCTGCCTTGCACAAGACAGAGGCTGATTTAATTTGACAGCAAAGTAATACCAAGCCCCCAAAATAAAATTACTGAGATGTAAAGCAGCGTCAAAACTCCAATTAGTTTTGTATCCTTGAAGCTTCTGGAAGAAATCCGAAAGGTTCCCGTCACGGTGAGCAGGCATCAATTTAAACTGTAGAGATTACTAAAATGTAACCCTCTCATTGAAATTGCTCAGAGCACAATATGACAGAAAGAATCAGAGAAAAATAAGTGAATTTTTCCCCCTCAAAAAAAAAAAATGACTCATTACAGAGACTGTTCTATTAACTTTTAACACAATGTTCCTTTGCAAGAGCTGGAAAAGCCAAAGGTTTCAGAGGTCTCAACAGAAAAGTGACCAGGGGCAAGATCAGTACGTGCTTGTGTCATTGGGTCATACATATGCATTGACCATTTGTGTCACATTTAAGGATAATCAACATTTCACCAAATCATAGGCATTTGGAAGTATATTTACAACCAAGCTTCAGTTTTTGAATGAATCTGGATTTTGTCTCCAGAATGAACAGAAGGATCTTGGTGCCCAATTCACACCCCATCTCCTTTGCAGGCCACCCCATGCACCCCAGTAATCTTACCACCTTTAAAGCAAGCCCTCAGCTTGCTACTGGAAGAAGTCGTCACCTTGACTCTGCGGGGTTCTCTTGTTCACAAACGTGTGGCTGTCTCCGTGAATGCCCTTCTACTGGATGAGGCAGCGGGGGACCAGGCGGAGGATGACGCTGGGAGTCAAGCCACAGTCACTCTGTATCGAGTTCCCGGACTTGCTCCCTGGCCACCTTTGCCCTACCTGGTGCTAGGTGAACACCAGAGGGCATGACCCAGGGGACCTTGGGAATGGCGAGGCTAACTTGCGTTGGGGTGGGGGGCTGGGGACGTCTTGGAAAAACCCTACAATGGCTTTCCTAACCCGTAGGTGCTTTGAGAATCGAGCTCAGTTCTCCGGTCAGCTTGCTGGCATTGGCTGCAAGGCAGTAACAGTCCAATGGCAGGAGCCATATTTCTCCGGAAGCTTCATATTTCTATCACTAGTCGGTCCTCATCATCGCTGCTGGAGTCACTGAGCTCCACGCGCGTCTGCTTTCTCATCCCTTCCAAACTCCTCTTCTTGGTGGTTTTTGAAGGGGCCTCAGGAAATTCTGTGGGCTGCCCTGTAGAAAGAACCATACAGTCCTTTAGAGCATTTAGTCCAGGTTCATGACACTTCTCCCTATCATTTCCTAAAGGAAGGCAGGGGACAGCCATTTCCCCACACCCATTCTGCCCCCCAGATGGAAAAAATGTCTTATGTCTGTCTTCCTCTTGGTGTGAACTCGTTGAACCTGGTCCTGAACCTGATATATCAAGATAAGTTTTTCCAGTTGACAACAATGAAACCGAACCTGAAACCTTTTGCCCAGGTGACGATTTCCCTGGCAAGACAGATGCTAACATGCCCTCTGCTGTAGCTTTTCTGTCTCGGGATCTTTGTGTCAGAGTCCCCCCTGCAACCCAGCCATGGCCTTGTGCCTCTGCCCTGCAAATTCCCAGGGCTGTGTGACCTGCTCTCTCCCCCGAAGTACAAAGGGCAGCTGCAGAGATAGTATCGTCGTGGTGGAGAGAGGCGCCCTTGCACTCAAAGGAAGGAGGCTCTTGAACATCCGAGAAAATGCACGGTTTGAGATCTAGTGAGACTTGCTCCTGGGAGGGTGGCAGCTGAGTGTCCAGCGATCCCATGTCAAGGCCTTCGCCCTGGGGTAGAAGTCTGTCATTAACCATTGCCACACAGGAGTCAGACTGCAGAGATAGTCCTGGCCCAACAACAGTATTCTGAAGACAACAGTCACCATGCTCACTGGCAGATGGAGAAATATCCTGCAACAGAGGGCAAAGGAAATTAAAATGGGGTAAAGAAAGTTTAATTGGTACAAAAAAACCTGTGGTCAGAAATGTGGTCCTCAATGAAAATCAGGTCTTGAGTTCTTAATGATTCTTTACCAAGCCTGCACTTCAATCTGATGTTCTCAGTCAGTTCCCATTTATAACTAATTGGTGCATTCACTCTAATAAAACTCCTTGTGGCCACAAAATAGGCTGCTGGGATTACTATGTGTTTTTATCTGGTTTTGTGAAAAACCAAACTGCTCAATTATCCAACCTATTCTGAGCACCCAATTTCTAGTCCCCACTGTGCATGAGGTGGATGTGCTGTTTTACAGCACGATGCATTTAAATTTTTCCAGATTAGGACTTTTCAAAATGTGGTCTAGATTAGGATTTTTGTGTTTTTCACAGTCTGCCAGGCAGTGAGGCCACGTGGCAGTGACGTCTGCACTGTGACAACATCTCTGTTCTATTCAGGGGTGAATTAACAACATAGTTGGGATTTTTAACAAACCATCAGATCATCCCAAAGGCGATGCTTGAAGTGTGTGTTTGCCTAACAGGCTTTCTGCGTCGGGAAACTTCAGTAAGTGGTCCCTGCAGGTTCCACTATCCTGGACACCAACGACAAGGAAGGGAAGCGTAACTGACAGGTAGAAACAGCTCAGTGGCGTCATTCCCACCTTCACCATGTCTTTGTCTGCTGCACTGACAGTCCTCGAACTTGTGCTCAGAGGGAAGCCTGGTGAGGCTTGTCTGCCACCATCTTCCTTCTCTTCATTCCCACAACAAACAGACGATTTTGAGGGGTCACTGGATGGCTCCCCTTGCAGACGTAGACCTAAAAGGGGGAGGCACATTTATACACACCTGAAATTACAGTCAGCCAATAGTAATTTCCTAGCTTATCTCCGTCTTTGGGACCAGCTCCGAGCTCACTAAGCCTCAGGTCACACTGTGTTCGGGAATCCAGTTTTCCCCAGAGCCAGTTCACACAATCAAATAAAATGTCTCCACTTCTGCTAAGGAGGGAAGTGGCAAAACCAATTCCCAAGGCAGAAAATATTTTTTTTAAATTTTCACGGGTTTGTTTTTCATCAGAGCCACCTTCCTGGCTACTTTTGTATAGGTTCATTTTAGACTGGCTTGAATTGTCTGGCCATGCAACCCAGGTCAAGAGCAGAAATTTCCCTGTCTGTCATATCCGATGTCTTGGTCCCCTTCACGGCACTGCGCAGTGGGCAGCGGGGCTGGTTTTGTGTTGCTGTTGTTTAATGGTGGTCATTATTATGATTTGCAGGGAGACGAGGGCAGCAAATTCGTGCCCTTGATAATATCCATAAAGCAGCATCTCCCTTTCATGGGGGAGCAGCCTTCCCCCTTCCCTTCCCCCTTACTTTTACCGGCCTCCACTTTCTCGTACTGGCGTGGGCCACAGGTCCAAAGGACCACAGAATCTCAGGAGAGGAGATTACATCATGAGATGAGAGCAGAAAAACATTCTAGAATGGCTGTGTCACCAGAGAAAAGCATTAGAGACTGACTTTTAAATTAGATTTTATTTTGATTAAAGTTATATATGCAGTGTTTAAAAGTCAAATCTTTGTGCTTATTAAGAAAAATAGCAACCTCTGGCCACCCACTCATCTTTTCCCACGTTGGATTCTTTTGATATTTATTTCCTTCGCTTTAATAATGTGCTGATAGCTCTATTCTTGACTGTTTTTTTTTTTTTTTTTCAGTTTGGAGGTAAGCCTGTGACTTCTCAGGAGGTGAGGAGGACTTGGCTCTACCCAGCTGTCTGTATCCACGGTCCTCAATGCCCCTGTGCACATGCTCCCTTCCCAGTTCCATCTCCTCTCAGTACTCATATAACCATGTTGCAATCTTGTTTAGGAGAAGATGCGGTATTTACGTTGTTGTGACCAGACCATGCCTCACGCCGCTGAGCCGTGGAATGTACCACGGCTGCACCGCCTTCCTGGCCACCGCTGTTCTGAGGTTCATGATTACTTTTTTTCTTCTACTTAGTTTCCTATAGGCCTGTGTCTAAGATCATCTCCAGATTCCTTCCCAATTGTCTAAGCTTTCATTTCTTTCCTAAGAAAGAGGTACCTGGAAACTTCCTGCCCTGTCTGAGTGGGCCCTGCACCACCGAGCGGCTCCCGGGTCTCCGTCACCCTGTCCTCACCTCCCGCTTCCTGGACCCCCCCACTTCTTTCTTCTTGGTTGGCTTTCTTGTTTTCTTAATGCAAGACATGCATTAGCATCCTGAGAAAGGGTGTGTGAAATAAAATAGTTTGGACTTCAATTTGCCGCTTGTCTGGGTATAACATTCTGAACTGGAATTCATGTTCCTTCAGAATCAAAGATGTGGCTGCACTGAGTCCTACCTGCTGAGAAGTCTGGAGCCAACATGGTCTATAATTCATGATCCTTTGGGTGAAGTCTTCTTGTTTTTCTCTCTCTGGAAGCTGCTAGACTCTCCTTTGTTCCCACGTCACCAGGGCCCTGGGTGTATTTTTATTCATTGTCTGGGCATGCAATAGGCCCTTTGAATCTGAATCATGTCTTTCAGTTTTGAAAAAACATGTTGTTATTTCTTTGATTTTTTTCCCCTTATGTTTTGTCTTTCTTCCTAGAACTGCTCTTATTAGGTTATGGACCCCCCTGGTCTAATCCTCTATTTTTTTCTTATGTTTTCTCTCCTATTTTCTGTTCCTTTGTCTTCTTTTATTTTACTTTTGAGGGAACTCCTTCCATGTTACAGTCCAACTCATAAGTTTCTATTTCTTCTGTTTTTAATTTCTAAGAGCTTATTATTATTACTATTTATTCACCTTAATGCAACCTCTTATCATCTCAGGCTCCAACACCTTCCTTCTATCTCTGGCAATGTCCATAATGATTTGTTTTCACTGTTATTGCTGGCTTGTCCCTTCCTACAGGGTCTGTCTCCCAAGTTCCTTTGATTCTGTTTGCTTTTGTCTATCTCTTTCATTTTAAAGACTTAAATGAGATACCTAGCAATCTTATATATCTGCCTATGTTTAAGAAGTGGGCACTAAAAAGCTGACTGGAAGCTCTTTACAAGTGCAATTTGTCACCCACGGCCACCCTGTAGGGCTAGCTGGTTGCCTGTGTGCATGGGAAACCCTGACGCAAGTCTCTTTGGGTCTTGCACACAGACTGGTCAGCTTCTCCGCGAGGAGTTGCCAACTCCTGCCTGGGAATTACACACCCACTTCTTCTATCTCAAGAGGCAGGTTACTAGATTGTTAAGCACACAAATCTTAAATCAATTTTGAAAATCCAAGAGAAATGCAACAATCTGGGAATGGAAGCAGTGATTTTTCCTTTAATACAGTTTTCACTTGAGCATCACCTTCTAATGACACAGAAGCAGGCTTTTGATCCTCCATTCATTTGCTCAAGAAACATGTGCCGGCACCCTTCAATGCACCAGGCACCCTGCTCAGCCCAAGAGTCAGAGAAGAACAAGACAAGGCTCTCTGGCCCTCAAGGGCATCTGCTCCACCACGAAAGAGAAATAAAATAAGTACGGGGATAGATAAGATCAGTTCAGTTTGTGATGGGTCACAAAGAAAATGAGCACGGGGAGCAGAATATTCCAGAAAGTAACAGTAAATGGGGAACATGTTACAGAGGGCAAAGAGGGATGACTTTTTTGTACAATTGAGGAAGGCCTCTGTGAGAAAGTGATGTCTGAAACGAGACCTTCCGGATGAGAAAGAACCTGCCCACAAAGGCCATCCGGATGAAAGAGGAACAGAGGCAGGGACCCCGAGGTGGGAAGGGGCTTGGGGGTTCAGTAACCAAGGGAGGCCAGCATGTGGGGAAAGAGGGTGCAGAGGGTTGGGGGCAAAATGAAGGTGGGGAAGCCAGTAGAGGCTCAGCCCTTGCAGGATGCTGGCAACCTTGGGAAGGAGCTGAGATCTTATGCTGTATCCATTGTGAAGTCACCAGTGTTTTTCACATGGGGTCCACACCTTTTAAAGATGCGTGTTGCTGTGATCCAGAGACTAAACTGAGGGCAGAGGAATGTGGAGGCGGGAAAACCAGCTCCGAGGTCGCCAGGCAGTCTGGTGGCCAGAGGAGACGGCTTAGCCAGGGCAGTGGAAGTCGAAGTGGAGAAAATGGATGGACTCAAATATATTTTCATTCTCACTCATGAAAAATCACCAAAAATAATGATGATAACGCTTTATACAGCCCCATAGTTTACCAAACACAAGCACCCCACTCTAAGTGGATTAAGCTGTGTCCCCACAGTGACAAAGCAACCAGGCAATTCATTCAATTCAATGAGGAGGTAAAACCAATTAGTATGGAGAAAATAATCAGATTGGCCAAATGTGTTCTCAGCAGGTTGTTCGGGTTCTTAAGCTGAACGGAAAGGCCATGTGCGCATTTGACCAATAACTTCTGACTCATCTGAGGAACTAAGAAGAAAACCCATTGATTTAATTTGCTTTTGACCTACAGTCTACAGAGAAAAGTGAGTTATCTTCAATAATTGTGAAAAATGCCCAAAGAATGTCACTGAAGTATGTTAAATGAATTTGGATTATTGAGGAAGGATGCTAACTTGCTTTTAAATGAATGGCTATTTTCAAAAAAGCAAGGAGCGCCCTGTCCACTGCTAAAGCACAGAATGTGGTCCTGGTTACATTTCAGCAGGACTCTACGAATCACTTCATACATCTTCAGAAATTACGGACCCACCGTCTTAATGCCATCTTTGGAGATTTGACCACTCTTACCCAATTATGTGAATCTTATTAGAGAAATCGTCTCTTATCACAGCTCTGTGTGACGTTCTGCTCTCCCCCTGATTAAAGGCTGCGTTTTTAATCATTTCCCTTGGAAATAACTGCCAAAGCACGTTTAGAAGAAGAGACTGCTTAAAATGTAGCAAATTTAAATTTAACCATCCTGAAAAGGCTCTCGGAAACTGTAACATCGTTAGGAAGAAAATGGAATGAAGAAATGACACGATGAAACATACATCATATCTGCAGACAAACTTTAGTGCCAAATCTTCTCCCAGCTAATTCCTAGGCCTTACTAAAATGCTAGTAAGCGTATTACTCAACTATAGTTATCTGAAAAATGTAACTAATTGGGTACATTTTCTTCAGTTGACCCAACACACCAAAATCTCCAGTAACTTGGAGTCCAAAGACTCTGCTTTATAAGGAAGGGGTAAAAATAAGTCTGCTCTGTTGGCCTTCTAAGCAAGCGATAAGGGTAAACAAGAACACCGGAGTAATATCCTAGCCAACAAATTGATCTGAGATTAAATTGTTTAGAAGCGTCCCTGCCGTGGAAGGATGCACAATGTGCTAGCAATTAAGATTTGCAATTACTTATGGAAATCTGGGTGGAACTCTAAAAGTAATCACTATGTGAGTTGTTATTTGCTCATTCATTGAAATATTTCTGGAGCCCATTTTGGGGATCCATATCTGTGGAGTCCAAGGACAAGCCTGTATTAATGAGCCTAAATATTGACTAAACCCGTGAATATTGAATATTGAGCACGGCCAATGCTTTGAGCCAGGAATACACTAGACAGGCAATTTATTCAGTGGCAAACGAGGCACACACCCTCATGGAAATTATAGTTTAATGGGGGAGAAATTCAGTCAGCAAATAATTGCACAAAAAATTCACCAAACCACTGAGAAAATACTATGAAGGAAAAAGCAACAGCACTATGGGGTCATGAAAAGGGGCCCTGACCCCACCTATACCTGTGGAGAAAGAGCAAAACCACATGTCCTGTAAAATCGTTCTGACATCACACCTGTGTGGCTG